CTTTATACGAATACAAAGTTGAAATATGGATAACGTGGATTTGAATGAGATTTTAATATCGAATTCGTGGAAAAAATGGAGAGGGGATTGATTAGAGAGTAGGATTTTGAATTATGAAACGTAGCGTGTGTCGAACGAAGCTTCGACATCGAATTCACAAAAGAAAAAAATGGAGGACCTATTAGAGAATATCGGACACGAGGTTGATGAATTACAGACCATCGATATTTGATATTCAGGCTATTATCAGATCATGAAATTAATATATTTTCAGATACGTATTTATCGATATTTTCGACGATTCGAAGAGAGAAAAATTTGATAGAAATTCCTACTAGACAAGAAAGAACTTCACCAAGTGGATTTGTCAATGAAATAATCGGAAGAAAGATAATTTAGATTTAATTTTGTTTCGTTAACGCGAAGTAGAAAAAAAAAAAAGTAGAAATTTTCTCAAATTCATCATTCAAATCGTTTCAAAGGAATAAATTTTATTGTTCCTACATTATAGAACTTCTACGTCAGAATACGTATAGTTTTAGTGGAAACACGAGGGGCCTGGCATGACCCAATTATAGCCGACCTAGGCTAAACAGTGAAACAAACCTGTTCATCGTGATCGTCTAACAAACTGTTACATTTCAACTGCGCCATATTGATCACATTTCCCGTAAACGAGACAGCATTTCGCAAACAGCATTGTCGAGTAACGAGAGAGAGGCGCAGGCAGAATCCTCGTTATATTCGATCTAATCAAAGTTTAATCTGCACAGCCTATCGACTACGTGTTTACATCTGAAGGTACATCCAGTACATCGAGAGGATATGTATTAGGCCGGGAGAGATCTTCAGGTAATGGAAATTGGAACGAAATTGCAGCCTCGTCGGATCGAGGGAGGCGGCTCCTTTCTCGACATCAACGCGCAACTCGCGAGGAATAAAATAAAATTATAATTTAACAGTAATTCGTATTTGCTGAAATTTTTCTTTCCATATATTTTTTTCAATCTTTGCTAAAGAAATATTTGTAGACGGAACGATTGAAACGAGAAATCGGAAATACGAGTCAAAGTTAAATAATTCGAGAATTATTTAAATGCCAATAATAATAATTTTTATTTTTTCTTTTCTTTTTTTTTTAAGATTCTTGGATTCTATCCTTCGAGACTTTTAATTTCGACGCAAGCCACTGTAACTATTTAATGTTATCTATGGTCAATCGGTTTAATTGATTTAACCGGTTACACTATTAACAACGAGGTTATCCATCTCACGATCCATCCCAATGAAACGGTTCGTAGCTACGATACTTCGTGAAATCGATACCACTTCGCGTCATAATGTGTCCTATAATCGTCAACTGCGATCGGTATGTGTATACTCTTTGTTTGCACAAAAAGAGATTCGAGCCTGATGAAAATTTCAAGCAACGCTGAAGGGAAATAATAATTTCTACATCGAAAGAATTGAAAAAATACAAGAATAATTGATATAACGAAAAAGTTTTATCAATAAAATATTTATCAATTGTTTTATGAAGATGCATGCAAGCATGATTCAAAATAAAGTATTTTGTAACGACACTTTAATAACAATCCAATCTTTCATTCTGGAAATCTACTTGCCTGCCCACGACTACGATTGTCCCATTCCTCTTTGACCAACCCTTTTTTCGCTTGTCATCCGATTCTTCACCTCTTTTACTTCTCGACAAACTTAACCCTTTGCACTCGTATTTATATTTAAGAAGGTTGTCGATCAAATAATGTAACAAAGTCCCTAAAATGTAATTATATTAATGTAAATATACGTATAATAATAAAATGAACAGAATGGCGATTATATGGCGACACACGAGTGCAAAGGTAATTTAAAATTTCACTAAACAACTTATTAGAAAATTACATGCGCCAACGCGTTACCACGATTCGAAATGAGCGAAGAGTCGACAATAATATCCTTTCAAAGCTACATCAACCGTGGGGAGAGTCGTTCCAAGCCATAAGTTAATGAAACTATCGTCGAAAAACATCGATTCGGCCGGTCTGTCTTGGCGATAATTTCCAAGTTCGTAATTACGTCTAACGAGGTGAACTTCCAACGAAGACCACGAGGAAAGGAAAGTTTTCCAACGAAAGGGACGAGGGTGAAAGAAAATTTCACGCCCCAAGGATCGCGCCGAGGGGCAGAATAATCGATCGATTTCGGATAAGCCCAGCGATAAAGGGTTGCTGCAACGGCGGGCAGAACAGGTGTGTTAAGTAATTAGCAGGTGTAAGTGTGTTAGAACGTGCGAGAACGAGCCGCACGCTCGTTCATCCGGCGTCCACTCTCTATCCCGTTAACGATCTTCGTTAACTCGATTTTATTACGTTAAGTCGGCTAATCCGGCTCCAACTGACCGCCCCTCGATTATTCTCCTTACACTTCTCTATACCCGCTTTATTTTTCAACCTCTTGCTTTCTCTTTCTTTTTTTTCCGCGTCTCTGCATGAATATTTAATCGGTCCAATCGATTAAGAGAGCGGATAAAAGTAGCGTAACGGGATGGATGAAAATTTGTACGAATATTTCCGAGTGATATCGAGATGTGGCTAGGCAAGTCGATATCCATGAATTTTTTTCTCGAGTGTTTAGAGAGAAAACGCTTTGCCAATGTTTCGCAACGATATGCGCATTCGCTATTTCATACATGGAATAAAAAAATAAAAAGAGAAAAGCGACATAAAAAAATCTTTTCGCCTCGCGATCTAATCATTCCAATCGCTCGGATCGAGCAGAAAAAAAAACGATCGCACTATACAAAACTCTGTCTCGCGCAAAATTTGATAATCCACGCAAACATCAAACGAAAAGAGAGGGAGAGGAAGGGGAGAAAGGAGCGGAGAAATGCTTGGAAAAAAAAAAATCTGCTCGAATCGTATAACAGTCGTATAAATCGAAGAGAGAAAAGAAAGAGGGGGGGCACGAACAATCGAGATCGAGATCCAAAATTCACGGTCGAGAGGATATCCTTCCTCGAGTTCAGAAACAAAGCCGCGCATTAACTTATCCAAGCATTCACGAGAGAGATCGGGAGGCGATCGAATTTTCCTAAGTTCGATGCTTTCGATTATCGCGTTACACCGATATATACATATATATATATATATCTCATTTGGCCATTTGGTCCACGCGTTCCTCAATGAATTCGTATAAACTGCATCGTTTCACGGCCGGCCGGTTGCCGATTTATCGGGGGATTTATCGCTTAATTCCGCGCGCGCGAGCGCAACAGGGGGATGTGTATACTTAATCGGTGAAATTATTCGAAATTACGCGGAACGTAATGTTTATTTACGCTCATCGGCGACGCTTGTACACCGCGGAATATTATTTACATCGATGCACGTTCAATTACTTGGCGCGAATTATCGTCGAGAGACTGGCTGATACGCGATTCATCGATCGAGAACGTGTGTGGGGATGTGTGTGTGGCACAGAGAACGAACATGGCTTTGGGGAAGTTTGAGAGAATTATGGAGTATGTGGATATTGTTTTATGTATACGTAAGATTTGCACAGTGCAAATGGAAGATTTAACCCTGGGGGCTGCTGATGTACGAATTCACTGAGAGGAAATTTGTGTGAAATGGGTTTTTTTTTCTTTTTTATTCGACGTGCAAGTGTCTCGTTAATTATTTCAGATTATTTTTTGAAGCTTAAAACAATTGGGAAACAAGGGTAAAAACGAAAGGTTTAGATAAGTTGAGGAAAATTTTGAAACGTTCTTTGTAAAATTCTTTGTAGATTGTTGAGAATTTGTTGAAACGCGAGAGATTTGTCGGAATTAAAATTTTTTAAATCAGTAATATATTTTTAATTTTGGATTATGTATCGATGTAAAATATTAAACAGTGAAGATGGCATGAAAACGTTGCTTTGTAGGATCATAGATTGAATGATGTTACCGATGTTTAATATTGAAACTCTTGCTAATCATACTTGCATCCGATATTCATTAAAAATATAATATTACAGACTTTTTAAATTACAAATATATTCTATATAATTCAAAAATAAATTAAATGTTTTCAATTATACACATAATTATAAAGTATAATGATTTTATAAAAAGAATTGTGTCTAACAAAAATAAAATTGAAAAAAAAAAAATTAATCGAGAAACAAGAAATATAGTGCGACAACGAGATAAGTAGAAAAAAAATAACACGTAAAATCCAAAATCCATATTTAATTATTTATAGAAAAGATAATACGAGCAAAATTTCCATTAAATTTAATTCTATTAATTTCCTCCGTTTATTTACCCCTCTTTAATTAATTTTCAATCTTCCAACTACATTTAACATCATACTTTATCGTTTCAACCATAAAACCTTAATCTCCAACGATAAAATATAACAAATCGCACGAATATCCTGCAAAATGAATAAACCGAGTAATTTATATCGAACAACAAAACGGTGAATAACATAATCGACAATTTCGAAATCGAAATCCTGTTCGATCATCATAACTCAACTTCCTCAATTTCAAAAATCTATCTCTAACCCCGAAACAACATCGAACAAATGTTTCGCATTTGCAAAAATTTGCAAAACATAGCCACGTCGCGTACGTTCGATTATCCCCGGCAAATTATTATTCGACTTCTATTCGACTATGCATATCGAAACGTAGTTTATCAATCGCGAACGCTATCCAATGCTATCAGATCGATCGGATGAGGACATTTTAATTGCATCGTTGGGAAATGCATTTTTTTAAACGCGTATCCGCTCACGCGATTTTCAAAATTCCGATCGGATAAAAGTGGACACGAAACGCAACATTTTTATTTATTGATCGATAAAATAAAAAACATAATAGTCCGCAACATAGAAATACATTTAAAGAAAGATTATTCTTATAAAATTAATAAATATGAAGAAAATATTATTATTCGCAAGACCAATCACTCCTGTCTTTTCATTCTGACATGATTGAGTGATTGGAGAAACAAAAATGCATGCGACTCACCAGATGCTCGTCAGATGCGAAAGATGTTGTCCTCGAATTTGTTATAACCCAATAACAAAACACTATTTTCACGTATAAACGATGTAAGTAGAAAAATGCAAAAAATCTGTAAAAAAAAAAAAAAAGAAAGTAAAACATTACAATTTAAAATATCATAATAATTTGAAAAATTGAAATAATAACGAATAAAATATTATTAAATTTGCAATACAATAATAACGAAGATTGAAATTCTAATAAAATATAATAATAATAAAAAATTGAAATTTAAAAATTGAAAATTGATTGTATTTCGGTAAAAAAATAAAAATTATTAATATAGTTCAAATTAAAATATAGTTACCTTTTTGCATGATAGATGATTGTTTTATTTTTTCAAAAGAAACACTGACTCTATACCGAAAATGATATATATTTAAAAAAAAAAAAAAATAGACTACTGATTCAACTGTTTAAATTTTATTCAACGAACAAACACTGACTTTACTTTCACGTATGAATAATAATATGTAATAATTATGTGAGCTATTGTGCTCTAATAAATATTAAAAATACTATGACGAAACAAGCACTGATTCTACGATCGCATTGCACGCGATCACAATATCTCTCTAAATGTAAAAAATAAATTAGTAAAAGAAATAGAAATAGAAGAAATTTAATATCTTTCTTTTCTAAGCTTGAGAAATATATAATAATACTATGAAATTTCTGTTGACTACGCAATGTGAAAACACGCATGAATGTGATTGTATATTCATGAGAATAGAGGTTATCTGCTAATGACGACGTTACTTTACAAAATTCGCGATCGAAATATGACAAAATATGAAAGCAAAATCTATTTCGTATTATTCTCTACTTTCTACTTTAATCTTATTCATTAAAATATATATGTCAATTACGTATTAAATTCTCATTACCAATAGTTATAAAAAGAAAATTTAGATGTACATACGTCAATTGATGATTTGTTGAAATAAATTATTGCTGAACCTGTATGAGAGGATTCCAATTCAACCGAATTCGTCATTAAAGCGTCTCTGATGCATAACCTTACTTCTTTATAAAGTTATTCTCGAAATCTTCAATAATCTACACAAGAAAGAAATAAAATTAAAACAAATTATGTTAGAATAAAGCAATAATCGAGCATATATTTCGTCTCAGAAGATCGTGATACAAGCTACCGGTAACAATCAAAAAACGAAGAAAGGAGTTCGGAAAATTACTTAATTTCGATGTGATAATGTTTAATAAATCATTAAATAAATGCTTACCAAGTAAATGAAACTGTAATTGTAGTCCACAAATAGCGGCGAAGTAGAAATAAAAACAAATCACGCACAAACATAACACATCCTGTCGCGACGACTTTCCACAAGGGAATGACGCCATATGTATCAAGCTTGCGCAGCCACGCTACAATTGGCTGTCGCAACACGAGTAGCCTTCTGATTGGCTGACGTTACGCAGTTCCTTTTCTAATTGGTTAGAACAACGCGCCAATTCTTCTAATTGGCTAAAATAACGCGGCACCTTTTCACCCAAAGCGCGCGGAGAATTGAATTATTATACAGTTCATATGCTTACATCGTTATAATTCATATATTATTCAGTTATTTGATTAACTTTATTTAACAGTTATTATTGTTATATACAGTAATGTACAACATGTAATACTCTTTTATTATAGAATTTTAGAGTTCATGAACATCATATTACGTATAATTACAATCACAAACAAGCAAATAATATTTAATTTTTAATACAAATTTTCATAAAATTCATAAATAAAATTTTCACGAATATTTTCTAGGTTATATTATGTACTTTATACGTAATATTATTCCATATGTAAGATTAAATATTATTAATTTTAATGAAATAATATATATATTGCAAATAAACAGTATGTAATTGCTTGACGCTAGAACAATATATAATTTTTTTTATTTATCTTTTCAAAAAGAAAAAAAAATTCAAATACTTTCTTTTCCATACATGTCTAAAATTTTCATTACAACAATATATCGTTAAAGAAACTTTCTTCTCCTAAGAAAGCACAAAAGCCCAAGATTTAAACTAACATAAAATTTTTCCAAAGAAAGGAGAGTAGCGAAAAATACCAAAGCAGAAAAGAAAATTCATCGAAGAAACCTAAAGGTTTATCTAAATTGAACTTCCTTCATAGAATCTCTCTCTAACATTGATCACAAAACTGTGTATCAAGGAAAGACAAGAAGAGGAAAGCAACTTTTAACTAACACGATTTCCAATGATTTGTTGACTCAGTTAAGACGAAATTTTTTCGAAACTTTTTAACGAACATTTTAAATTGAGTTCTAATAAGTCTATTTGTAATTCTCCATTTAATATAATGCTAATTAATTTAATTAGTAAAAAAATGCCCTGAACTTCAACGATCATTTAATCCCTACAAAATTTCATTTGAACACAGATAATTTTTTAAACGATAACGCGCTATATCGACTTGAATATATATTATCTTGTATATTCTTATTACAGACAATATTTGATATTTTTATTAAAATTTTTTAATAAAAATTAATATGACTACATTATTTATAAGATAAGTTTTAACCATAAGAGAAAATAACAGAATTTCTAAGACATCCTATGCAATTTATGTATTTTCTTTTTTTTTTTTTTTTTTTTTTTTAATCACGAAGGAATTTTCATTTCTTTCTCCTTGATTAAAATTTATTTCAAAAAGGGAAAGAAAAAAGAGTTTAAATAAAATACGAAAATTCCTATTTTAATTCTATCCAATTTTCCAACATTCCAAAAGAATAGACACATAGATTTAATTTCGCAGTAGCATATGAAAGTATGTTATGCATCGAAATTGATATTTTCAATTATTTCCAAACTTTCACAGTTCAATTCAAACGTTCTCAGAACGTTAATTTAAATTCCGCGGACAAATATTAAACGAAAGTAACTCTAAACAACAAAGAAAACTTTTCGAATTTTATCGAGTTTAAATTCTTTTCTCTCGAGAAAAGAAATAAAAATTACATCTTATTAATTACTTTTTTCACTTCGTTGAAATTCTTTCACGAAAAAGATGACACGATTAACCGAATGTACTACTACGATCCAATTTCACTGAAATTCCAATGGAAAAAAAAAAAAAAAAGGAAAGAAATATTCACGGAATGGAATTTGTAGCAATGCAACAGTAGAAGTTGGAAAATTTTGGGAGGATTCTATATGGAGATATGGATCGATTTCATTTGCATCCGAGTTTTGTTAACCGACTACCAGTTGGTTTCCACTTCTATCCATCTCGTGACGTTCATTAAAGCACCGTGGCGTAATCATGGCGTACAGATTTTTTTACGAATTTTTTATTTTAATCTCGCGATAATTCCCGGAATTCTCGAGAGAATTGTCGCGCGAAACAGTTTTTGACAATTATTATTATTATTTTTTTTTTTTTTTAGATTCGAATAGCGCCATTGCACGTGAAAT